TAACTGTAAATGGGAAAACCACTGTCAACTATGCCTTCTGCTATTAGTTGTTCTCTCGATTTAGTCTTAAATTCCCCTTAGTGGCTTTCTAATAGTTCCCGGTACATCAACCATTTGTCCTCGTCTGCTTTTCTCTTGTATGAAATGCTTCTTGAGCTGAGATCCATAAAGGTGTTTTCCGGCACAACTTGAGTTTATATCTATTCCATATTCCCAATATGGCACATCTAATAAAATGATTTTTAAAATCCACATTAATTTTAACTTTATCGTACCATAAGTATCCATGCCATCCAAGCCTCAGGTCATGGTCATCGAACTCTAAAAGACTCTTGTTTCTCAACAACATCCATTTGTTCATCCAGAGCAAACAACAAGCTGCAAAGTACAATTTCAAATCTGGTAAACCCAATCCCTTAAATTAAAAAAAAATCTTCGGTAGTTTACCTTGCCTATTTTTAATACTTTTCTCAATAGTTCTGTCTTTATGTGGGGAAACCACCCCATTCCAATCTCCCAGGGGACACCAATTTTCATACAAAAGATTTATTTATTTATTTATTTATCAAATTTGTCACCACCCATCTCATTGGAACGACTGGCTGGTCTACAAAGCAGTTAAAATCAATTAAAATTACAATATACAATAATCTTAAATAAATAGACAATAGATCCAAGGATAGATGTTAAAATTGGCAGTCACTTGGGGAGCATCATCAAGGTGTCAGCCACCCCCAGAATTGGGTAAGATTGTTATCACCCCATGCAAGCTGGCAGAGGCAGGTCTTTAATCCTTTCTGGAAAGCTGAGAGGGTAGGGGCCTGCCACATCTCTGGGGGGAGAATACACCAAAGATCCAATAATTTGTCCATAAGTCCTTTATAAAATGCTGTTTTATCTTCATTTGAGGCATAAATTCCCAGTATCAAAGTCTTAGGCCCCCTGTAGATTAACTTCCATCCCAACATATCTGCCATGATCATCAGTCAATACAGCATATGTTTTGGATATAGGTGAAGATTTATATATAAAACAACTCCATTTTTTTTCATTTCTGCTGAAATAAATTCTTTGCCCAGATTTTTGTGATTCAAATATTTTATATCTTTTTTCCTAATGTGTTACTTGTAAGCAAATTACATTTTGTTTTAACTTTTTCAAATAATGTTTTTTTTCCTCTTTTGAGGAGCATTTGCTCCATTTATATTCCATGTTAAGCATTTATAATCCATAGTTATGCCAAGATTTTGGAAAAGTCAATACCTGTAGTACCCAACATGGAATCCTCTTCAGTGTCTTCTTGTGTCTGTTGTGGCATTTGTCATCTGTCATTGTAAGTTCCATTTGTATTTTCTCCAACTCTTCTTTAAATTTCTCCAAAAAATCTCTTTCTGCACAGAGTACAGTCTGAATCTCTGCTGTTTAAAAGTAAAAATATCCCCTTCCATCTTATCCCATCTAAATGGAATTTTCTTCTGTTTAAGTTTATCTGTTAAAAAAAAACAAGCCTGTTTTCTTTTATAATTCTAATTCTAGTTGGATTTTCCTTAAGTACAATTACATCTGTATTATCAATCCTCAATCTAGTATTAAAATGCTACTGCAAAAGTTGATCTCTGATCCTCTTCCTGATGAAGTGCAGAAGGACATCCCTTGGAACATTTCTTAATTTTGCAAAACATGTATTAATCCTATAAACTTTGTCAATCTTTGTCTCAGTATCATCTTCCTCCCAATCCAAGAAATTAAACAAAGGCTTAACAATTCTTTGTCTAATATCTTCTCCATGTTCTTCCAGAAGCACTCTAAATATTAAAATTCTTTTTCTCTCAATTCCAGTAATGCCAAATTATCCAGATCTTTCTCCATCTCTCTATTTTTAACTTCTATCTTACTTTCCAAAACTCCTACTTTGTCAGTAATTTGTTTTAAGCCTCCAGCCAATTGCCCTACAGATTCTTCAGTCTTAACTTCTTTCATATCCTTTTTTATCCCAAATCTTTCTTCCATTTCCTTTTTAAAAGCATCCAAACTATTGGAAGCTGGTTCAGTCATCTTCTTGCCAAATTCCTCAAACATTTTCTGCAATAAATTTGGCATGATGCCCTTATCTGTAAGTTGTTCTAGTGAACCTCTCCTTTCTTTTCCTATTTTTACTGCTTTTCTTGTGGTTGCCATTGTAATAAAGTGAAAGTATGTCAATTACTAGGATGAAAGTAGAAGGCAGGCCTTTTTTTTCCATTTTGTTTTCTCTGTCTGTAACATTTAAGTCCCAGTTAGCTCTCCGTATTTATAGTCACACAATTTAGTTCATATTACTCTTATCTTCTTGTTGGTAAAGTCCAATTATCTACTATCCATAATAATAAGCAATCAGCATTCCCATGAAGGTCCGGTCCAAAATTATCTAATTAATTTTGCTATTTTCAAAAGCACTTTCATTAGGGATAAAAAAAATTAGAAGAAAATTTTCTAAAATTACTGTCCCCTTTATCCGTTTAAAATTTTCTTGAATCACAATCTTGTTAAGCTTTTTGCTTTTATATTAAAATCCTTTAAGATAGTATTTTATTTCCGCTTCTTCATTCCCAGAAAGAAGGCAACTCACCAAGAATCTTTGATCTTCCCTGCTGTTCGGAATACCTCTCTTAGGTTGTAAAGTAAAATCCAAAGGTGTTTAAGAAAGTGAGGCTTTTGCCTGTCATATGTCCATAAAGGCTGCACTGCAGTTAAGGGCATGTTGTAAATCTCTTGGCTCCCAAGCCGCTCAACTCACAATTGTGAGCATCCCTGTGGTCTCCTCATGAGCAGTTATTCCAGAGAGCACATGGGTGATCTCCTCTCCTTCCTCCGGGGAGATTTTTGCCAGCCAGAGCCTGTTCCCAGCCACCAATTTTGCCACTGTGCTGTCCCCACTCGTGGAGCCACTTGCAGAGACCTCTAACTGGCCATATTATCTCACTCAGTAGCCCGCAATAGGCACCCTTGTTTAAGAATGGCTTTCCAAAGAAAAGCATTTATATACATAGGGAAACAAGCACATCATTTATTGTTTGAATTCAACAGATGGGCAGGGAATGAATGAGTTATCTTATTAAGCCTGGTATTGCATTCTCCAGTTAGCCAAAAAAAAAAAAAAAAAAGGAAAGTGCAGTGGAGTATCAAATGTATCTATATAATATTTATAGGTTATAGAATATTGATGATTATGTGCCATCAAGTTGTTGTCAACTCTTAGCGAGATGAACAGAATACTGAGTGTTGCCCTAACAAGTAGTAAATTCCATAGGTCTTATTCAACATTTTGATTTTATATCCATACTGAGTATATGCCCACTGTTTCCTTTGTTATGAGGATTTACATGACAAAATTATATACAGTTTATAAAAAGAATAAAGACTTCCTCAAGTTGAGCTCAACTTCTGGTGACTTCGTAGACACACCCATATGGAGGGTTTGGGCAGTTATACAGGTGGCTTTCCACTACCTTCTGGGTTTTGTCTTCCTAGTCTAAACTATAGCCTCAGGATTTCATAACAGTTTTTCATCCAAGTACAGCAGATCTGACCCTGCTTAAGTTTTCAAGATCAGCCAAGGTCAGCTAAGTGCTGCCCCAAAGATACTCTCAATTTTTTAAACATACTGAAATACATGCTCTAACAAACATTTAAAGAAAACCATTAATTTACACACAGAAGTTCTGACAGCCAATTTAATCAAAGCAATAATAACCCAAGTAAAATGCTTTTAATCACTTACTTATTTGAGATTGAAAATTGTCAGATTAGGATCCATATGCAGGACCAAATGCTTCAAATTTTATGGTTTTGGATCTGGATCTATTCAGGTTAATTATGGACTGACAAGTATACTAGAAAAGGGTTTCCAGTGCTACTAGATCTGTAGCAGTACGTATCTGAATTAATTTATCTTTAATAGCAAACATGTACTTAAACACTATGCCATTGTACAGAAAAGCCATGTGACATATTACGTAATACTTCCTGCTTTCAGGCAGAATAGACCTATAGAATGAAGCACAGAGATACCCCCTCTGCATCTGATAGCTCCTAATAACTCTTAAAACCTTCACATTTCAGCAGCGAATTGTTTTCTATATTATGACTTATTATACCTAATGAAATTTTTTTCTTAAGATTTTAATCCTAAATATATTTACTATTGATTATGTATAAAGGAGACTTACTTTTCTATGATTTATGAAATTAAATCATATTTTCTTCCTACTTTATTCTGCGTAAGCATTACCATGTATGCCAGGAAGACAGTTTTAGTCAGGCAACAAAAGGAAATATTTAGAGTAGTTCAAGGCCAGCGTCAAAAGTTTTCTTTACCACATCCCATGCCTGTACTACTAGCCTGCTTCAGATTACATCCCACATATTCTAAAATAAAAGTGTTCTTGCAAACTAAATCTAGCAATTGTATCTAGGACTTAGAGTCCTACTACGTCACAGGAATCCCAAGTACAGTTTCATGCTGCTCCTCGATTTATGTCAACATCTTCTGTTTGAAAATTACAACCTCCCACATCACTATCGGCAGCAGTTCCCGGAAATAAAATGCAGATTAGATCTGCCTCTTGCAGCTTTTATTTGCCTTAACTCAAAGTTTTATGGCAGCTCCACACCACAGTTTTTCATTTGTAAGATCCCCACCATTCTGTGTTTCCCACCGTTTCTTTCATCATTCTAAAATCCATACAGTTACATGATGGGTTTTGACAGGTAGTGCCTGGACTGTCCATTAGGAAGCACCTATAGGTACATTTTACCGCACAACCACTACTGCTTTTAGAAGTAGCCCAAACTACATAAGGCGAGGGCTTTTGCACTTTTAATCGTTTGCCTGGCACGAAGATATTGACAGGGCAGAGAAGGGCCAACGCACTATGCCCACCCAAACGTCCGTCCCTCAAAGCCTTGTACATACAGTACTGCTACCAAATATCAATGAATAAATACTACTCAACAGCTAAATATAAAGAGAGAGAGGGGAGTCTTGCGAGCACGGGGCGCCGCTTGCTCTCCCTCCGGTTTTCCTCCTCATCGGGGCACCGTCGACACAAACAAGGGAAGGCTTTGCAGCCGCCCTAAAAGTTGCACCTAAAGTCACACGACGCGCCTTCGGGAGAGCGCGGGAAACGGGCGAGAGAAAAAGCACGCCGCTCCGCCGAAGAGAACGGGCGCCGCGGAGTGCTACTTTCCTTCCCCGCCCCAAACCCTTCGCCTACCTGTGGCCTCGACCAGCCTGCGGGAGAGGAAAGCAGCCTTCAGCGCTTTCTGCTGCTTTTTTTTGTTCCTCCTCCCCCCGCATACGCGAGATCCGCGGCCACAGCCCGCTGCGATTGGCTAATAATCTGCCGCCCGGAGCGCCCAGCCCGAACACGACTGCGCTCGCCTCGGCTTACCTGGAAACTCAGGTGAGGCGAGAGCTCCTCCTTCCGTTCCTTTAACGGAAGGCAACAAGGCCACGTGCCGCGGGGGCGAGAGAGAGGAAACTGAGAGAAAGTCGGGGCGCTCGCGCTGCACCGCTCCGCTTCTGAAGCAGGAAAAGCCAGTCAAGTAGTCGTGGCTTGCTGCAGCTGGCGGCGAGCGAGGTAACTTACTACTCCTAGGAGTAGCTTCTTCCTGGTTCTGAGAAGCGTGCGCCCTTTGACTCTGAATTAAGTTTCCTCCAGTCTCTCGTCCCGAACTGGCTGCAAACTCGCGCTCCTTTGCAGAAAGGGGCCTCGCTAGTTTGATGTAATCCTTCGCTCAAGCTGAGGACGGGAGCCCTCTGCGGTTTTGACCTTGGAAGCTAGCCCAATTGTCCGTTTCAGTTAGTTTGCGCTATTCCGATCCACAGACTCCCCAATTCAAAAAAAAAAAAAAATGCTGACTGCCATGTGGCATGGGGCGCTAAAGATGCCTTCAAAACGGCCTGTGGGCTTGAAAAAGTCAGGCATAAAATATAGGGGGTGTCAGCAATGCTTCATGGGGGACCGGGGTGCTTTGTTAAAAAAAGAAAAAGTGGTTGCTAAACGCTAGGAGTCAAAAACGACTTGATGGCATATAATCAATCAAAAATTAAACATCTTTAAACGGATGTTGAAATTTGGTGCAAACTGTAATTGAAAAATTGGCCTTAAGCATCCTACTGATCGCTATTGCCAGACAGAAAACAGGATTAATGCTGCACGCATTTTCATGGGTGTTGGAAAATTCTTTCAATCCTGTAGAAAGCAATCAACTGTGCTGGTGAGACGGGTCATGCTTTCTAAAGCTGCCTGCTTGCTTGTTGTCCATGTGCAGCTCAGCTAGAACTTAATTTTCTGGTACTTCTATCTAATAAAAATGGTGTTGCATTACCTTGGACTATGCAGGTTAGGATAACTT